AAAGGCAAGCTTCTGAGGGAGACAGGTGGCCAAATGGGACCATAAGACGGCGCTAAAGGGATAAGGAGCGTGGTGGCTGTAAATGACCGGGAGCCGGAGGAAGATGCAAGGGGAGAAAGGGCGACGTGCAGCTGCGAGGAGGAAGGCGCCTGTATATGCATTAGCACGGGGGAGGGAGGAAGCGGAGGGTTCAAGTGCATGCGTGGGGAAACCTGTGTTGCACGATTTCAATTTGGGGAAATGAGTTCTACATACACGTATGAAATAAATATCCCGTGATTCACGACAAAGATAAAATGGAACTTGAGAAGATGAGAAGCTCGTCGGCAGAATTCGTGCCTTATCTACCCTTCTCCTTCCCCTCTCCCGCCGCAGTAGCTAAAACCAACACTAAACGCGACTGCAGGTGCACGCGACTCAATCCATCCTATGTGCCCCGCCTACCTTTCCCCACCTCCACAGTATCAGGGAATAAAAAACGCTTTGTGCTTCCTGCGGCTGCCGATTCCCGGTTGAGTCGCGTCTTTGAAAGCCTCTTCCTTACACCTGCCACCGCCATCCCTCAATCCACTGCAACAAAAAGGATGGCGAGCAGGATGAACAGGTGGGGCTGTCGACAAAATTCCTCGACCGATTACGTTGCTTTGTCTGTCATTGGACGGATTTCAGAGTGCAATCCTTCGAAAAGACGAGGGAAAAGATTTCCATCCTGTTTACATCTTGAATCATTTTAAATCACCGTGAGAGGGCGAAAAACCCACCCTCACACCACCCCGCCGTCGACCCTGAGGGCACCTGGAACCCATTTCCCATCATCATAATTCATCCTTTAGGATACAGTTTCTCTGAAATCCAGGTGACCGTAACGGTAATTATCCTCTCCCTCCCCACGCACCGACACCCACACGCACCCCGCGGAGCCGCCGCAGCCAAGACACCGCCTTGTTTACCGTCACGGCGGAATCACGGGTTCGGGGATGAACGCCGCTGCTTCGTGACCTTTCCCCAGATTGCTGGCAAATAAATCATCAACTTCCGGTCTGCATGCGACGCACGATGGGATTCGTGCGTGCATTCATTGCAACTTAAATTCTGCTTGAAGATGATTAAGGTTTGGAGAAAGAACTAACCCAAATGTATGTATGCGTGTGTGTGTGTGTGTGTGTGTGTGAGAGAGAGAGAGAGAGAGAGAGAGCGAAAAAGAGAGAGAGAGAGAGAGAGAGAGAAGGAGAGAGAGAGAGAGAAAGCGAGAGAGAGAGAGAGAAAGAGAGAGAGAAAGAGAGAGAGAGAGAGAGAGAAAGAGAGAGAGAGAGAGAGTGACAGAGACAGACACGGAGAGAAAGAGACAGAGAGAGACAGAGAGAGAGAGAGAGAGAGAGAGAGGGGGGGGTTGGGGGGGGGCATCTTCATCAGTGCAAGCACAAGTCGTGGCGAGCTCTCCCACGCCACGACTGGAGGCGTGAGGCGGCAAGGACCGCTCAAGTCGACGCGGTCTTTCGCCCCACAAGGCCGCCGGCACGCTCGTCAAAACAACACGCGCAGGACAGCCAATAACACATATTCATCAAGCGCCGGGGTCGGAGGACGCTCCCCCACCTCCATGCGCTCGCCCATTAATGACGAGGCTTCCCTGTGACATGGTCGCTTTTTAACTCGATGCAAGTCTACCCCGCCCTCCAAGGGCAAGAGCACCCTGCAGCCAAACGAGAATGAGCGTGGAAAAGCACGAGGAAGGGAAAAGCGAACCAACCAAAAGGGGCGCGATCGTCGAGGACGGCCTGGGAGAGCGGCGCCGGCGGAGAGGCTGGGCGAGGAGGCGAGGAGCATTGATGATGATGTTGACAAGAGCAAGACGAGGACACTGGCTGTTGAGCGTGCATCTGGCAGACACCACAAGCTCACCCTATCCCCGATCACGCTTTCTCCCCCCCCACACACACACCCCCTGCGCTCAGCCGACCCTTCCACCACTCCCTCTCTCACT